GCTAGCGCTCTACCACTTGAGCCACAGCGCCACTTCTGGCTTTTTTCTTTTTGCTTATGTGGTGCTGAGGAATCGAACCCAGGGCCTCTGGCATGCAAGGCATGCGCTCTACCACTGAGCCACCTTCCCAGCCCATACCAGAGGTTCTTAAGTGTGAGGTAATCCTAGATTTTTTAAAAAATGGTGGTATCACCTCAGTGATAGCAGAGGTGATCTTGAATATACAAGAAAATTGGCTCTTGTGGTTTTTCCAATTAGCAACTATAATCTGATTTCATGATTATCTAATGAGTGTATCCAAAAGTCATGTTAACATCAGTGCTGAGTAAACTGGGTATGACAGTACATTCAAAAATAAGAAACTTTAATGAGCTGATGAGCAAGGAGGCAAAATTTGACTATATAATGATATTCAATAAGTTCACTGACTTCTACTTTTGGCAAAGGTAAGTACTGTTCTTTCACATCCTCAAGAACAGGTTCATTGTTTCATCTAAGTTTTCAGTCAAAGGATAGTCTAATTGTTTCAGTAAGCATAAAATCAGACTTCAAGAAAAGATGCAAGCATTAATCTTGGCACCCTGGAAATTACATAGCTGATCTGGTAAAAATCATGCAGGAAATAAGTTTAAAACCTAAATATAGTTTTGTGGCATAGTTCACACATCTTGTAAAGTAAGTTCCAGTGCTGTTTCCTGTTACCAGCTCATATAAGGCTGATATTACTGTGGACAAATTCATGCTTTCTCATGACTAAAAGTAGGTTGCAAGTAGAAATAAGGCTTGAAGGGAAAGAGGAAAACAGAGGGTTATAAAGTCTTCAATTTTGGCCAGGTGCTGGTGACTTACACTTGTAATACTAGCTACTCAGGAGGCTGAGATCTGAGGATCACAATTTGAAGCCATCTCAGGTAGGAAAGTTCATGAGATACTTAATTCCAATTAACCACCAAAAAGCCAAAAGTGGTACTTGGGTTCAAGTGGTAGAGCATTAGCCTTGATCATAAAAGCTCAGGGGCAGTGCCCAGCCCCTGAGTTCAAGCCCCGGGATGGCAAAATAAAATAAAATAAAATAAAAAAGTTTTCAATTTTAACTTCATCAGTTCTCAGTTCAAACATCCTCCTTCCTGCTTTCCTTTTTTTGCTGGTACTAGGGTTTGAACTAATGGCCTCTCATTTGCTTTCTTGCTTGGCTGGAGCTCTACTACTTGAGGCTCTCCTCCAGCTTTGTTTTTGGCAGGTTATTTTGACGATGAAGTTCTACAGATTTTTCTGCCCAGGATTGGAACAAATTGCAATCCTCTGGATCTCAGCCTCCTGAGTGGCTAGGATTACAAATGTGAATTACTGCTACCTACCTAGCACCCTGCTCTTGAGAAGTGCTTGCAAAATCATTGCCATTCCTATCACTCTTAAGCACCAAAATATCCAGCCAAAATATTTCATGTTACTTCCCTTTCCTTGTACTCTAGGGTTCCTATTTGTAGCTATCTTTCAGAATATTTACTATTTATGGGCTCCATCATCATCAGAAAGCAGGCAAGTAAAAATGGCAGTTTCACAAATAACTGAGTATAAATTGTTACAAATTAACCATTATTATTTTGGTGTAGAACAAATTTAACCAATGTTCTAACTATGTATATGTATTTTTTTAAATAAGATGACATGAACAAATAAGAAATGCTGAATCTCACCTGATGCTTCATGTAATGATTCATGTAGGGAGTTGCCATTTTACTAACTTTGAGGCAAAACGGACATAGCAAGTTCTTAGTGTTTTCATGGACTATTCGAAAATGAGTTTCTACATCAGAAAATATTGATGACCTAAACTGGCAAACCTAGAAATATAAAGAAGGTTTAGTTTAACTTGAAACTTTCATAACTTGCATATAATTATATTGAATTAGTAATGATTTATCATTTATTTTGAAGAACATTCTGCCAGATAGACAATCAAGAGTCCTATTACTACAAGTAATAAGTGTAATTTTTAAACAAAAAAGTTATATATGTTTAGGGATATTATAAATCATAGACTCACTTCTTTTCAGATCTACTACCCATTACCTTGACTTTCATTTGCAAGTGGGTATCTCCCATTCTGTATTGCTTGTCTTTCTATATACAGCAGAGGAATTTCATTTTCAGATTTTAAAGCGTACACCAGTAGCAATTTATGTTATTTCCTAGAACCAGTAGTCACTTGAAGTATTGGAAACACTGATCCCAAAGCATTTATTTTGGGTCTCTACAAGAACGTGTCCTATTTCCCTAATATAGCTCTATTCTTCCCTAGAGGATAAGCCAATATGCTTGCCTTTTTCCTTACTACAAGGGTTGGAAAACTACAGCCTACAAGGCCACCAGTTAAAAAAAAAAGAATACTATGTTATGGCACATGAAAACTACACAAATGTCTAAATATACAATAAAATGTGTTTACCTGGCAAATATATGGCATTTCACCAGGTTTATGAGTGTCCTTCATATGTTGTAAAAGAATATGCTCTGTTTCAAATGACAATTCACAGATTTTGCAAATAGCTGAAAGTGGACAAAACATAATACATCATTTTAAGAGTGTATGTATGAAAAGGATGCATTCAGTACAACTCTAAGACAACAAGAGTATAATAGTAATAGCAGTAGTAGTAAGGGAAATTCCAACAATTCAATCAAGGTTGACTTTCTAACAGTTTTAAGAGACTGTGGTTATAACTCAGTGGTAGAGTACTTGTCTAGCATGTGTAAGGTCCTGAGTTCTTTAAAAAGTTAGGATATTGTTGACTTTATTTAATTCTCTTAACACAATTGAGGGAGGTACTGCTACCCTCCCCCAATTTTTCAAATAAGCAAACAGAAGCACAGACAGATTAAGTAACAATCTTTCTATGCTTTACATAGCTGTATTAGGGAGCAGAGGTAGAATTTGAACCCAAGCTCTGTACAGTTCCTAGACTGTTTTAACTGCCCCTACAGCAACCTTTCATCTTAAAGTGTAAATCAAGGCAACTGATTTTACATTTGAAACTATGGGATTCAAGTATTCTAATTCAGTTCCTTACACATAATACATAGTTATGCCAAGGAAGTTTTCACTAATGAATTATTTACAAGAAGGGTTTCAATTTTAGTAATAAATTTTAAGTTTGTATGAGTTAAAACTTGGTATTCAGTTTGGCCATCAAATTACAAGTTATATTTCTTAAAATTATTCCATCAGAATCCTTTGGTTCCCTTACAATCAGGTGGTTAAAGTCAATAATTTTCAGGCCTTCAATCAAATTGTCACTTACTAGAAAACTCATGGGGAGTATGTGTACTCTCGATGTGGCATTGCAGCTGGAAGGGTGTGGGATACTGCCGGTAGCAGTGCTGGCAGGTGGTGTGGTTTTCCCAGCTCTCATTGTTCTGCTTCTCCAGTTCCAAGTGGTGTTTCATGTGATTCATGAACCTATAAATGATTGTCAACAGTTGCAAAAATTCAGATTTATAACCCTAAAGTTTAAAAAAATGTAATTGATGGGAACTCAAAATAATTTCTCTATGGCCTTAATTAAAGCCCTCAAGAAAAGTACTCAGTGCTGGGAATGGTGGCATTTGCCTGTAGTCCTTGTTAATTAGGTATCTGAAGCAGAAGGATCACTTGAAGAGTTTGAGGCCAGCCTAGGTAAATAGCAATATCCCATCTCAAACCAAAAAGTATGTATACTAAAGAAATTGATTTTAACTGGGCACTGATGGCTCATGCCTATAATCCTTAGATATTTAGGAGGTTGAGATCTGAGGATCGTGGTTTGAAGCCAGCCCAGGCAGGAAAGTCAGAGAGAGTCTTACCTCCAATTAATCACAGAAAAAGCCAGAAGTGGTGGTGTGACTCAAGTGGTAGAGTGCTAGCCTTGAGCAAAAGGACCTTAGGGACAGGGTCAGGCCCAGAGTTCAAGCCCCAGGACTGGCAAAAAACAATTAAAAATAAATAAAAAAGAATTTAATTTTACTAAGTAGCTTAATAAACAACTTTTAAAAATTTTTGTAGTTTCCTTTTTGGCAAATACAAAAAGTAGTAGTCTTTTCCCTCCACATATTTACATTTCAAAAAAATACATAGAAGAAGGAAACTATCACCATAGTTGGTATAGTATCATGAAAGAAAATTTTAAAAGGCTTGAAAATACACACACATACACATACACACATATTGCTTTCAAAATGCATGTAATAACAATGTAAGTGCCTATACTTACACACATCTTTCATTGTCTTTAATGATCCTGGCTTTCTGTTTTTATAAACTGTTACGATTTGAATCTGAGATGTCTCCCAAAGGCTCAAATGTTGGGGGCTTATATGCCAGCTGATAGATTGAGGACTCTGACCTAATTAATGGATTAATCCCTTGATAAATTCATAATGACATGATTATTGGGAGGTAGAACCTACTTTGGGGAAGTGGGTTACTGGGATGAACCCTGAAAAAATATACTTTGTCCCCAGTTCTTTCCTGTCTTGCTCACTGCTTCCTGGCTGCCATGAGATGAACAGGTTTCCTCTATCATCCCCTTCTATGATGTTTTTGCTTTGATATAGAACTAAAAATCAATGGAGCCAGCTGACCCTAGACAGAAACCTCAGAAATAATGAGACAAAAAAAGCTAGCAAAAAAAAGTCTTTCCTACTTTAAATTGTTTCTCTCAGGTATTTGTCACAGCAATAGAAAGTCTGACTAATATAGAAAGTATTTCTTCAAATTTTTTGCAGACTCTCCCTTTTGTAGTACTGTCTATCTCAGAGCTACTAAAAGGCTTCTTAAGAGAAGAGACTAAGACCTTCAACAGAGTACATATAAATGAGCATGCCTAGTCTGAAGAGTTTACTTGTGGCTAAATTTCAAAGAAAACTTATTCAACTAACAACAAATTTTTGTCCTGTTCCTGATCTCTGTTTCCTGATTTTTTTTTTTTGCCCCACGCTAGTGTGCCACCACTTGAGCCACAGCTCTACTTCTGACTTTTTCTTGAGTTTATTGGAGATAAGAGACTCACAGACTTTCAGGACCAGGTTTGGCTTCAAACCATAGTCCTCAGACCTCAGCCACATAAGCAGCTAGATGGCAGTCATGAGCTCCAGCTTCAACACAATAATTTTAAGATTAGATCAACAACTTAAAGTAATTCACTATGAAAATCTAAAGAAAACAATACTGAAATGGAATGATAATACCATCAACCTAGATAAATAATAATTATATAGGCTTTTAACATTTATCTCTTTTTTTATACCTCCAAAATACATCTCTTCAATTTTGGTAAATGATTGGAATTTACTTTGAAAAGTATCCAACACTACATGGTAAAGTAAGTACAGGTTGAACACTTCTAATCTAAAAACCTGAAATAATGCTCCAAATCTAAAACATTTTTTGCACCACTTGATGTGTCAGATGGAAAATTCAACACCTAACCACATGCAATACATTCAAGTCAAAACGCAAATGCACTAGTAATATTGTATAATATTTACCTTTAGGCTCTATGTATAAAGTATGTGGGAAATATATTTTATGTTTAGACTTGGGTCCCAACCACAAAATATCTCTTTATATATGTGTGAACATTCCAAGATCTGAAAAAAAATCTGAAATTGGAAGCATTTTTCTCAAGGATTTTGGATAAGGGATATACAACTTGTATAGTGAAATGTTAATAGTAGAACTGAGATGGTAAATAGATATAAATTCACTATAAAATTTTTTTCAAATTTGTAGAATCTTTAAAAATCTTATAAGGTATTGAAAAAGAGTGTTACTTAATATAAATATAAATGTCAGGCTGTAAAATAAATGAAAAATGTCAATCAATATGTCATATTATTTGTTTTGTTACTATCTTAAGACTAGATATGTAAAATGCCATAAAACTCAAGACTGTAAAAGACAAGTTCCTAAAACTTAAAAATATACATGTATAATAATTTTAAATTTCATTTGGAAGTTAAATCTTTTTTTATGGGAAGAGGGTCCTGGGGGCTTGAACTGAGGACCAGGGCACTGTCGCTGAGCTTTTTTTCCCCTCAAGACTAGCACTATACTGTTTGAGCCACAGTGGCCTTTTCTTGGTGGTTAACTAAATAGAAGAAACTCACTGATTTTCCTGACCAAGCTTATTTGGCACCATTATCCTTAGATCCTAGCCTCCTTAGTAGCTAGGGTTACAGGCTTATATTAGAGTTTTAAAATGTATAAAATTATGAAATCAAGTAAGACAATACATAGAAATTGAAGTTTTCCAAAGAAGAGCACAAAACAAAATCACTTTCTCTGCAAGTTAACATGCTTAAAAATTGTAAACATGAACTGAAACCTGAGCACTATGTAAGAGGTAGTATGGGAGAGGTCAACCTAGAGACTAGTATATATACTAGACTATATATATATATTTTTTGGGGGGGAGTCTGTCGTGGGGCCTGAACTCTGGGCCTGGACACTGTCCCTCAGCTCTTCAGCTCAAGGCTAGCACTCTACCACTTGAGCCACAGAACCACTTCTGGCTTTTTTCTTATGTGGTGCTGAGGATCGAACCCAGGGCCTCGAGCATGCAAGGCAAGTGTTCTACCACTGAGCCACCTTCCCAGCCCCTAGACTATATCTCTTATAATATTAATTAGTGTAAGATTAAAGAACAACTGAAAATACATCTCCCCAAAACTGTTAGTTCAATGATAAATATAGGAAAAAAATAATTTTCTATTAGAATACATTTTGTCCTTAAATGCTATGTGGGATGGCAACTCCTTTGTACAGGTACTTAAAGATAATAAAAATATTTTTAAAAAGGTATCTGAAAAAATACAACTAAGTACATCAAGATGTCAAAGTATAAAAATATGTTCAGCATAATGACCTATCTTCCTTTTGTGTGTTAGCATGTGTGCTGGTCCTAGGGCTTGAAATTAGGGCCTGGGCACTGCCCTGAACTTGTTGCTCAAGGCTAGAGCACTACTACTTGAACCACAGCACAACTTTTGGCTTTTTTCATAGTTAATTTGGAGTCTCATGAACTTTTCCTCTTGGGCTGTCTTCAAATTGCAGTCCTCAGATCTCAGCCTCCTAAATAGCTGGGGTTTGCAGGTGTGAACCACAGGCACCAATCCCTTCAAAGTAGAAAGCATAAAATCGCTAACCTAGGTTGGAGAAGAAAACTAGATACAATATCCATATTAAAAGATAATATGCAATTTGTAATATGAGAATTTTCAAATAAATACATATTTACATACCTAATGTTATTTTTAAGAACTTTCAAACAACTGAAACATTTAAAGTTTGTGTAAGTCTTCAGTTCTTCCTCAATGGTTCCTTCATGTCTCCCATAATAAAAATCATTAACTACCATGATCAATTTTCCTTTCTCAGAACCAGCATCATCTTTGTCAGCACTTGAAATTTCTATATTGAAAGTTCCCAGGGAGTTATTTACCATATCTGGGCAACAATGCTGAAAAAAAAAGAAAAATTAATAAGCCTTTCTTATATCTCTTAAAAAGATCAGTAAACAAAAATGAATCCCATGTTTACAATTAGGGCCAGATTATATAAAACTGTGCTTAGAAGTATATCTGGAAAGATATTCACCAAACATTAGCTTCTTTCCCTATGTATTCCAAAAAATTCCAGCAATAAGCATTTATCTTTTCTGTAGGCAGGACTAGGGTTTGAATTCAGGACTTTGTGCTTGCTACCTACCATCTGAGCCATACCTCCAGTCCAGTATGCATTATCTTAAAGAATAACTTCAAAAATAAACTGGGAGGGAGTTTAAAGGGAAAAACTGGGAGAAAATGAGGGAAGAGGTGATACGGATCAAAAAGAAATATACCCATTACTTGCTTATATAACTGTTACCCCTTTGTACATCACCTTTACAATAATAATAAAAAATAAATTGAGGGTGTGCTTTGACTGCATGAAGAAGCCTCCTAAGTAATGTACACAGCCTATTGCTTATATGGATTGCTTTAAGGGACTTTGGAGACAGTTTTTTAGTGGATGGTCATGTCTCAGAGCTAATGCCATCTGCAATCTAGGATCCAGACAGGTATGTGGTGGATGCCTTTGAGATGTCCTAGGAGACAGTGGCCAATGTGCATTACAATGGCTAAGTAACTATGCCCATTATCACTAAATTTAAAAAATGAAAAATGGCTACTTTAGAAGTTTGAAGAATAGCATTACTTAGTCAATAACATTCTGATTAATATATTACTTTCATTTGCAGTTGAAATGTATACCACAGTAAGTATACTAAGTTAATTTTTAAAATTTCATGACTGGAAAGAATTTTAAAATCTTATATAAAGATAATATTACAGATAAGAATTTATATAAAGTTCCTTCATGAAAACACCAATTTGATAAGATTTATTATCTAAATATCTAGACATACCAACAAATTCATTCAATTAATACTTAATAGTTTTAGGGTTTTGTAAAACATTTTCAAATATCAAAAAACATTATTATGCTAGTCCTGGGGCCTGAACTCAAGGCCTGGGTGCTGTCCCTGAGCTTCTTTTGCTCAAGACTTGTGCTCTATCACTCTACCACTTGAGCCCCAGCTCCACTTCTGGCTTTTTTGGTAATTTATTAGAGATAAGAGTCTCATGGACTTTCCTGCCCAGGCTGGTTTCAAACTGTGATCCTCAGATCGCCTGAGTAGCTAGGGTTATAGGTGTGAGCCACTAGCACCTGGTTCAAATATTAAGGTTTTAAGCATCCACAGAATATTTATTTGCTATTTAAAATATTCCATACTTTCACATATTGTGAACAAAAAAAAACATTTCAACTCACATAGTAAAAAAAAAAAAGCAAAAAGTACAACCTTTCAAACATTAAAAATCATAATCAAATCGGTAAAACAGATAAATAAATGTATACCTCTAACAGTTAGCTTATGAAAAAACAAGAACAAAGAGCCATGCATTTATTGCCCAAATTCACTAATTCTAGTATGGCCATCCTTCTCAGTCATCTTGACTCTTCATTACACTGTACAAGCTTAGATGGATAGATATTGTTTAAAAATAGGAGAGGGCTGGGAAGGTGGCTCAGTGGTAGAGTGCTTGCCTTGTAAGCATGAGCCCCTGGGTTTGATTCCTCAGCATCACATAAACAGAAAAAGCCGGAAGAGGCGCTGTGGCTCAAGTGGTAGAGCACTAGCCTTGAGGTGAAGAGCTGAGGGACAGTGCCCAGGCCCAGAGTTCAGGCCCCACAAATGACAAAACAAAAACAAAACAAACAAATGGGTGCCAGTGGCTCATGCCGGTAATCCTAGCTACTTAGAAGGCTGAGATCTGAGGATCATGGTTCAAAGCCAGTCCGGGCAGAAAAGGCCATGAGACTCTTAACTCCAATAAACCACCAGAAAACCAGAAGTGGCATTGTAGCTCAAGTGGTAGAGTGCTAGCCTTGAGCCAAAGAGCTGAGGGACAGCACCCAGGCCCAGAGATCAAGCCCCATGACCGACCCCCCCCCAAACAAAGGAGAGGATCACAGGAAATACCAAAATGGCTAAAAAGAAAACATCAAACGAGTCCAAAGAGTAACTGACATTACACTGGTACAGATTAAGGAAAACAAAGAGTTGAATGTTTGGCCTTTTTATAAAAAGAAACATGACCGTAACCAACTGATAAAACCCTGTTGTGGAGCCTCAGAACAACTCTGTGAGAGACTAAGTGTACAGAAATTTAGGCTTTTATGTACCTGAAAACTACAGTTAAGAGAAAAATCACATCAGAAAACACAGAGCATCAGAACATGAATACATATAAATTAAAGGCATACTGTTTATCATTCTACATTATTTCACATATGGTAAGAAAACAATACTGTAAGTCATTCTTAAGTAAAAATGTTTTCACTGAAATAGTAAGTTCCACAATGAGTTTAGGTACAGCCTTTTACCACAAATTTAGTATATATCAAAACACTCAGTGGTGTCACAAAGCTAATAAAATTATTCATACGGTGTACTGGAAAGGTAATCATTTCCCTGCCTTCATAGGTTAACTTAAAATCAGTTAAAAACGGAAATAGAGAACTAGTAGAAAAAAGCTTTACATGAAAGCCTATATGGTGCATTCTTAGTATTTCATGTTGGATATGGACATTGCCTGTATGTACAACCACACATGTTCAACAGACATGATACCTTCTTCCCACATATGTTTATATTGACCCAGACTGATCTGTACATAGATGGTCTTCTTCTCTAGGCATATATAAAGTAAAAAATAAGCCTGAAACATTTGTTTTGTTTTTTTTTTTGTTTTAATGATATGAGGAACCTAATGTCTTGCTTCTTGAAGGGATGCTAAGAAGAGCAGTCCACAAAAAAAAAACAGCTACGCATGCCAACCTTTTCAAGAGAGATGAGTTATCTTCAGGAATAAAAATGTGAGCAAGATCACTAGTGATCTGAGAAATTTCATGTGCTACACAAACAAAGATGAATGTGCTGACAATGATGTTGGGCACAGGGTTTCCAGGAATGAGTACCAAAATACCCCTGGAGTCCGCTGTCAGCCGTATGTGGTATTGGCAAATAAACAGCTCTAATGAAATTTTTCCAAACCAAGCAAAAACTGAATAGGCTTATCCAGGGATGTTCCTTATTAGAATAAAAGCAAAAATCTGCTTGAGGCTTTCTGTGTAGCAAAATTTGGTACCATATTTATAAGGCAAAATTTCCTAACAGCCCATGATATAATCTTGCTATTTCCATTAAATATCTGCCTGATTGGCAGGGCAGTCACTCTCTCTTTACCCTCAAATATTAAATTTTTGGGGAAAAAAGTTTTAGCAAGGTACTGATAGCTCATATCTGTAACCCTAGCTACTCAGGAGGCTGAGATCTGAGGATCACGGTTCAAAGCTAGCTTGGGCAGGAAAGCCGGTGAGACTCTTATCTCTAATTAACCACCAGAAAACCAGAAGTGGTACTATGGCTCAAAGTGGTAGAATGCCAGCCTTGAGCAAGAATAGCTCAGAGACAGTGCCCAGGCTGAGTTCAAACCTCATGACTGAAAAAAAAAAAAGAAAGAGAAGAAGTTTTACCTTCATGTGGGATCTCAAAGCAGTCAAATGTCTGAACTGAATGTTGCATTTTGGACAAGATTTTCGGAAAGGAGCTCCATTTTTAGAGTTAGATGAGGTATTTGAACCTAAAATGAATTAAATACTTTCATGAGTAAAATTCCCTGTTTTAAACCTTAAGCAACCACTAATAATAGTTTTTCAATCTATCATAATTTCTAAAATTTATACAAAAATAACACATTTTTTCTTCTTCTTTTTTATTTTGCCAGTCCTGGGGCTTGAACACAGGACCTGGGCACTGTCCCTGAGCTGCTTTTTCTCAAGGCTAGCATTTAATTCTTTGAGCCACAACGCCACTTCTGGCTCTTTCTGTTTATGTGGTACCGAGGAATCGAACCCAGGGCTTCATGTATGCTAGGCAAGCACTCTACCACTGAGTCACCTTCCCAGCCGAATATATTTTTTTCTGTTACATTTCATATTTACCTGTTGTTACCACAATCTGGGAAGATGATGCTTCAGAAGAAAACTTCTTTGAAGACAATGCCAAGGAAATATTTGTTTCAGACACACCTTGACTGGTCTTTGGCTGTGGTGGATTAATACTGTTTACTTTAGAAGCAGGGAGATGTGTTACTCCAAATGAAGTTTGATCCATCTCTACAAAGATTTAAATAGTAGAAGATACACATAAATGTTTTGGAGTAGAATATTGCTTACGTTAAACTACTATTAAACTAGTATTGTATTTAAAATTAAAATATTTTGGAGCTAAACTAAGTATAAAATGATTGCATTATCCTATAACACAAACAACAAAAAAGATGAAAATTTATATAACCAAGAGTTAAAAACTATACACATAGCTTCTATGTACTATATTTATTTGAAAAATTCTTTTTTTTATTGTGAAAATACTGTACAGAGGGGTTACAATTACATGGGCAAGGTAATGACATTTCTTATCAAGCATTGTAGCCTCCTCCTTTGTTTTTGAAAAATTCTTAAAGTAAATATTATATAAGAAAATATTAAAGATAGTTTCACTTTTTTGGCATTCTAGAGTTTGAACTTGGGATCTACAGAGTTAATTATTAGCAAGTTATTTTACTACTTGTCCAAAGAAAAACATAAACAGCTATGAAAAAACATAGATATAACAATAAAAAAGGGAAAATGAAATTAAGGCACAAAGAATACTCAAGGTAAACTAGAAATTTATATTTTGGTATTTAAGTACATTTAAAGCTTGTACAGAAGTATTTATTCTAAAAAAAAAACAGAAATTCTGGGCTGGGAAGGTGGCTCAGTGGTAGAGCGCTTGCCTTGCATGCACGAGGCCCTGGGTTCGATTCCTCAGTACCACATAAGCAAAAAGAAAAAAGCCGGAAGTGGGGCTGTGGCTCAAGTGGTAGAGCGCTAGCCTTGAGCTGAAGAGCTGAGGGACAGCGCCCAGGCCCAGAGTTCAGGCCCCACGACCGTACCCAAAAAAAAAAAAACAGAAATTCTATGAGATGCTTTAAAATTGAGATGCATAATAGAAAATTTGTTGGTTCATCTTCCAAATAACAACCTAACAGCTGGTTTATATTCTCTGATTCTATATGTAAAGTGGAAATAACTAATTTTGAAAGATCATAAATACCTTACCCCCTCTTTATGGAAAAGTTTGGATGGAATTACTTTAATGCCTTTCAAACTATGTTCCTTTCAGTGGGATGGAATGTAATGGGCATGTCAGATACAGAATCTCTTCTTTTATGTTTGGTTAATTATATTTCTCTATAAAATTTTGTCTGAATAGAGATTTCCTTGCTAAAAAGTTATGAGGGTGAAAGCCATCACCTTAAAGGGCAATAAATTATATGATTCAGTGTTGTATGAAAGGAGAGAAGGTTAGCACTCCTCTTGACAAGGATGGAAGAGGCCCTTGGGCCTGACAACACGCATATGGTTAAGGCATTACCACCTATATCGTGGCATCTAACCATCGATTTTTTTCTTTGCTGTTCTTAGCCCATTAATGCATAGTTGTTTGATGCTGAATAGATTGTATCTATTGAACTAGATTGTATCTGCAGCCTTTTGACTGTGCAACTTACAGGACTTTGGTTGATGCTTGCCTTAAAATAGTGTTCTAGCACAAAATTGGTATTACTTTCATACCAAATGGGCAGAACAAGCAGGAAAAGCACAAGAAAAATGCCAAGTCCAGGTATCTCAACTCCCACTCATGATAATCAGGTGACAGAACAGATAATGAATAATCCAGAGGAGACTTCCATAAAGCTCTACAATCACTACTGGTAAACATGGTGAATGAAAAGATTGAAAAACTGCAAAGGACTCAGTGTGAGCGTGATAGGGGGAGAGGAGGCAAACCAAAGATCAATACAGGAATCTCATGAGCATGAGGAAGCTACTCAAAGATTGATAGGGGAATTGCTGAGCAGGTTGAGAACACTCAAAGAGAAATAAAGGAATTGCGTGGGCAGGCTGAGAACAAACAAAAAGAAAGTCAGGAATAGCGTGAGCAGGCTTAGAACAGTCAAACAGAACTACAGGAATTGCATGAACGTGAGGAAGCTAATCAAAGAGTAATACAGAAACGGCAAGAGGGGGATGGGAATAGACAAAGATCAATAGAGGCATTCATGGAATCCATAAACAGAGAGCAGGAGTAGCAATCCTATATCAGATAAAATAGACTTCAAATTAAAATTAGTGAGACGAGATAAAGACGGTCACTACATACTAATTAAGGGATCTCTCCTTCAGGAGGATATTACAATTCTAAATCTCTATTTGCCAAACAACGGAGCACCCAAATTTATCCAAGAAACACTATTTTTCCCTCAAATCTCACATAGGTACAAAGACATTAATTGTTGTGGACTTTAACACACCACTATCCCCACTAGATAGATCAACTTGGCAAAAACTCTGAACAGAGAAACTGCACATCTAAACAACTGCATAGATCAACTGCATAGATTTAACAGACATCTACCGAATATTTCACCCAGCAGCATCAGAATACACGTTTTTCTCAGCAGCACATGGAACATTTTCCAAAATAGATCACATTTTAGGTCACAAAGCAAACGTCCAAAATCAGAAACATTGAAGTTATACCTTTCATCCTCTCAGACCACAAGGGAATAAAATTAGAATTCAACACCAAAAACCACCAAAGAAAGGCTTGTAACACATGGAGGCTGTAAAAGTCCTGTAACACACTGTTGAATCACCAGTGGGTCATGGAAGAGATTAGAAAGGAAATTCAAATGTTCATGATATTCAACAAAAATGAACACACAAATTACCAGCTCCTCTGGGACACAGCAAAGGCAGTACTCAGAGGCAAGTTTATAGCTCTGAGTTCCTACATCAACAAATTGGAGAGAACTGAAACCAACAATTTAATAAGACATCTGAGCCTCCTTGAAAAAGAACAGCAAGATAAACCCCAATCCAGTAGACGGAAAGAAATAGTTAAAATTAAATGAATTAGAACCCCCCCTCAAAAAAAAACATAGAAAGAGCCAGGCACTGGTGGCTCACGCCTATAATCCTAGCTACTCAGGAGGCTGAGATCTGAGGATGGCAGTTCAAAGCCAGCCCGGGCAGGAGAGACCATGAGACTCCTATCTCCAAGAAACCACCAGAAAACTGGAAGTGGCGCTGTAGCTCAAGTGGTAGAGCGCTCGCCTTGAGCTGAAGAGTCGAGTGACAGTGCCCAGGCCCAGAGTTCAAGCCCCATGACCGACCAAAAAAAAAAAGAAAAAGAAAAAGAAACATAGGCCCCATGGTTTCTCTTATTTGTAATAACTAGTATATGTCTAAGACAAGCAGAAAAGGTCAGATAAGTTGATGTTAGGTGAAATAAACCCCAAGGTTAGTATTCAAATATTTTTTCTTTCATGTAATTGTTTCTAACATATTTATAAGATGATTTCTGTGTTGCTTTGTATGTCCCTCACCCACGGTATAACCCCTGCTTTCACTATATTTGATGTTGGTATAATTTGTGGAAGGGAAGGGAAAAAACAAATTATTTAAATAGGGATACAGGTGGACCCATTGCAACAATGAGATGTACAAGTTGTTATGTCGAAAATCGAACTTTACAACTTTGGGGGGGGGATGAGAAAGGAGGAGGCAACAATGCTTGATAAGAAATGTACTCATTGGGGCTGGGAAGGTGGCTCCGTGGTAGAGCGCTTACCTTGCATGCATGAGGCCCTGGGTTCGATTCCCTAGCACCATATAAGCAAAAAGAAAAAAAGCCAGAAGTGGCGCTGTGGCTTAAGTGGTAGAGCACTAGCCTACCACTGAAAGCTGAGGGATAGTGCCCAGGCCCAGAGTTCAGGCCCCACGACTGGACCCAAAAATTAAAAAAATAAATAAAAAATAATAAAAGTAAAAAAAGAGAAGAAATGTACTCATTATCTTGCCCATGTAATTGCTACCCCTCTATATGTATTTTCACAATTGAAAAAAATTATGATTCAGGACAACTGCAAGAGTAACAAGGTTATTTAGTCTATAAATGAGATATAGCAAAAGTGATCTTTGAAAAAATGATTTTTTGATAACTGGACTTTGTGAAAAAGTTCTAAAACTGCACGTCAAGTCCAAAGAACCGACTTTCAAACATACTGTATACTATTCATAACAATCATTGTAAAAATTACTTGTTAAATCCTTTAGAGATTATAATGCAGTGGTGATGTCTCTTATGTGGACCTCCACAAAGTGCATATGGCTTGTTTCATGTCTGGAAAATGAATGTATTATATGAGAAAAATAACAGTATCTATATTAATAATGTGAGAAAACTGAGATGTAAAAGAGTTAGGTAATTTAATAAAGGCCATAAAAATTTTTAGAAAAGAGGAATAAATCAGGATCTTCCTAGCCAACTTTAAAGTATTTACCATTCATGGCAAAAACTCTCTCTCTCTCTGTAGTACAAAAAATTAAAAAGAAAGTAGGAACTCCTCTGTATATCATCTCCAGGAAGAGAAAGTAGACGTCATTGTCATGACAAATTCAGACTAGTTCTATGAGTTTTGTAAAATCATTAAGGTAACTGTCTCCTCATTTACTTTGGTTCTTAATTAGCTACCTACATAGTTGGGTATCAACCTAAATAGTACCAAAATGGGAAAATATTTTTTGTCAGTCATGGGACTTGAACTTAGGGTTCAGATGCTATCCCTGAGGTCTTTGCCTCAAGACTAGTGCTCTACCACTTGAGCTACAGTGCCACATCGGTTTTCTGGTGGTTAACTGGAGATAAGAGTCTAAGCTGGCTTTCAACCATGATCCTCATATATCAGCCTCCTGAGTAGCCAGGATTACAGGCATGAGCCACCTGCACTCGGCTGGGAAAATATTTTTGGTACTCATATTACTATAGGTTTTCTTATTAGATAAATTACATACTTCTTAGCTAACAATTACATCATCAGAAATGTTTTGTGTATTCTTTTAATGAAATATATAAAATTATCAAACATAGAAACTGGAATTTCTTCCATTACAGGTAATTTTTTCAAGTGGATAAAATTCCTTCATTGCAATACTACTGTTATAGAAGAAAGTAAAAAAATGTGCACACAACTGCAATCTACAATTGGAAAAACCCGCTATTCCTTTAATTTATGGATTACACACTGGGTATTTACCATGTGGAAATCACTGTTTTGTACCACTCTATAATCATATTTGTCCTATCTACATCATTTATTTGGCATTTTTAGATAATGGGGTTTGATCTCAGGATCAAATGTTCTACCACTTGAGCTATGCCTCCAGTTGTCATTAATTTGAGCAGATAGGCACCAGTTTCTCAAGAAAGCAACTATAACCATGCATTATCTCATAATGCAAATAGCCTCTAAGTAATTGATAATTACTTTTTGTTCTGGGGCTTGAACTCAGGGCCTGGGCACTATCCCTGAGGTTTCTGGTTCAAGGCTAGCACTCTCGCACTTTGAGCCAAAGCTCTACTTCCAGTTTTGGGTAGTTAATTGGAGGTAAGTGTCTCACAGACTTTCCTGCCCAGGATGGCTTTGAATGACCCTCAGAACTCAGCCTCCTGAGTAGCTAGAATTACAGACATGAACCTCTAGTGTCCAGCTAAATGATAATTTTTACAAGTATTTAAAGCATCAGGGTACTTTTCTGATTTACAGAAAGTATACTGAGAATATTTTTTAGCCTGTGAGTAGTTCTGAGAATAAGCTTAAAAATGTTAGAAACTCAAAGGAAAAAATTATTGTACAAAGTATGATTTTATACCAAATCACTCACAAAAGGGATTTAGAAATTAGTACTACCTCACAATATATGAAAAATAAATGAAGATATAAAGCTTAAACCAGAAATTCAATTCTATATGTACATTAATCAAGTCTATTTTTATAATTTTTGTGAAAAAGTGCTACATCAAACCTTCCAAGAGCTTTTTTGGCATGCCTGGGGACAGTGGTATTGTATCGTTGGTCAAGTCAAATAGAAACATTGAAGAACCATGCGAATCAACTCGTGATGAATTCTTTGAAAGTTCCTGTAAAAAATTAGTTATTTTTAGTTTTATTTTGTATTTATTTATTGCTTACACTCATGGTCAAAAGATTCTTCTTTTATCAAAAGATAGATTAAATCATTATATGTAGTTTGCACATAGCTTCCCCAAAATATATACAATAATTATATATTATTTAAATAACAAATTTTAATTAAAATACAAAAAAGATTTTAATTATGTAATATTCATTACTTATTATTACTTTTTTACTCACATCAAAACAGTTTTGAATACTCTACCTATTTAAGCATGTTATTTGACTGATTAACATGTTAGATTATGCTCTGTAGCTATTATTTTGGTACTGGTTGAACTCCATCATAAAGATGATGACAACCAATTGCAGTGGCTCATGCCTGTAATTTTAGCTACTCAGGAGTTTGAGATTAGAAGACTACAGTTCGAAGCCATCTTGGTCTGGCTAATCTCCATTTAACCACCTCCCCAAAAAGCAATAAATATAGTCATGGCTCAAGTGGTAAAGCACCAGCCTTAATCGAAAAAGCTCAGGGACAATCCCATGAATTTAAGCCCCAGGACTGGCACGCAAGCACGCACACACACACACACACACCCACGCACGGGCGCGCACACGGGCGCGCACACACGGGCGCGCACACACAAATAGATGATGACATTTTATGATGGCAATTATAGTACGTAACTATGACAGTTCTTAATTCTAACTATAATATTCAATGTGTCCCTGAGTTAACTGTGTAATTTCACAAATACTTACAGGTTTAGATATATTCTGAACAGCATGTGGGCTTTCTGAAGATTTAGATTCAGGATGAAATCTAGGTAAACCAGCCACTGGATCTGAAGGTGGGTCTTTATAGTGTTGATTTTTAGACTTGAATGTATCAGAAATTCCTGTTTATAAAATTACATGATATATTGAATGTATTTACATGTAATCAATTATGTAAACATATTTCATTTTAAAATTAAAATGGTACAGTAATATTATACCTGTTCCAAGTGCTTCATTCTTTATTCCCCTTGAAGATGAGCTAGAGTTGCCTCTGTTCAAAATAGCTGTAACAATATTTATTTAAAAATTCATATTTGAATGAAACATATTAATAGAAAAAACTTTAAAATATATCTGTACATAATTGACAACAGAAATATAGTTCTTGCCTTTATTGGTGACAGGATTTTATAGACTCAGTATGTCATGACTTAAAATTAAGCCCTTCCCAAATCCCCAAGCCACATTCACAAGTTTAAATACCCAGAGGTTTCATTATGAGAAAGCTGATTGAATTATTCATTTCTTGGTTATCCAGTATCATTATTCTCTTTGCTATATTTGTCTTTATTTTGGTACTAAGTGTAAAAAAATGATCATAAAATTTTCATACAAATACACACTGTACTTTGATTGTATTTACCCCCATTGCCCTCTCTAATCACTCCTCCCACAAGTCCTCTTCCCAAATAGTCCCCCCATTTCTAGTGTCATACTTATAAAAACTATCTGCAGCAGCCATGCCTGATATTGGCACACAAAAAAAGAAAGAAAGGGGCTGGGAATGTGGCTCAGTGGTAGAGTGCTTGCCTTGCATGCATGAGGCCCTGGGTTTGATTCCTCAGCACCACATAAGCAGAAAAAGTCCAAAGTGGTGCTTTGGCTCAAGTGGTAGAGTGCTAGCCTTGAGCTGAAGTGCTCAGGGACAGAGCCCAGGCCCAGAGTTCAGGCCCCACAACCCACAAAAAAAGCTCTATACAGCTAAGGAAAACATTACTGGAATGAAGAGATAGCCTGCAAAATGGGATTAAATTTTGCCACCTATTAATCTTACAGGGGATTACTATGCAGAATACATAAAGAACTCAAAAATTAAACACCATATAAATGAATGAAAACAGAAAAAGTAAATTGAAGAGGTCAATAAATATAAGAAACAATATTCAGCATCCTTAGCCATCAGACAAATGCAAATTACACTCAGATTCTTTCTCATTTGATTCTAGAAACTTTTCTATTTTCTTCCTGATTTCTTCAATGACTGTTGGTACCATTACCTCTTGTGTTCTGAATGGGAAATTGGTTACCAGACTACAGACTAAATTCAACTTTGAGTTTAATAGTTGATTAGCTTAAGGAGTTTAAAATATACTCTACATTAGAAGTCAATCTGAGCTTGACAGCATACTCTGGATCATTACAAGATTATTCATTCATACCCATACAAGCCCTGTAACTTTTAAGTTATTAAGGAATCAAATTGAAACTTGAAAGAGTAAAACTGGTTAAAACTGCTTAAAGTACAAAGTACAAAATTAATCCAGAAAAACTTAAAAGAATTCTACTTTTTCTTTCTTAGTAAAAAAGAACTAAATCTCACAAAATAATTAGGCAGAATAGAAGGCTATACAGAAGTAGGGTTGTTTGCTGATTGTGGAAAGAAAATGTCTGTTAATCAACAGTACACAAGTCTGTGGGGGAAAGGAACTTGTTCATTGAAACAACTTAATCTTGTGATGTTGGTGTTTTGAGACAGGTTCTCACCTCTAGCTCATGAAAGTAGAATGAATAAACGAAGTACATCTCTAGCTCATGAGTGTAGAATGAATACATCAAGTATATAAGGCAACCAGAGGATTTTCCATTCAAAATCAACAATCATCTTTTGAAACATCACTGAAATACATGCTTACTTGAAATGGCTGGCTTTGAACTTGATACCTCTCCAACAAAGATCAGCTCATCATCATCATCATCATCACCACCACCACCACCATCATCTTTATTCTGAGTTTCTTCTATTTTCCTTTGCCAGGGTTCCAGCTCTTCTTCTTCACATTCCATGAAGAGTTCTTCCATTTTCGAGTTAGCTAAGGTTTTTCAAAATGAGTGAAATATTGACTGGTGCTAGTGGCTCACATTTGTAATCCTAGCTACTCAGGAGGCTGAGATCTGAGGATCTTGGCTCAAATCCAGACAGGGCATGAAAGTCTATGAGACTTTCATCTCTAATTAACCACTAGAGAAAGCTGGCAGTGAAGCAGTGGCTCAAGAGATAGAGTGCTAGCCTTGAGCAAAAGGAACTCAGGGACAGTGCCCAGGCCCAGAGTTCAAGACCCAGGACAGGGGGAGGGGAAGGGGAAAGGAAAGGGAGGGGGTGAGGGAGAGGGATGTTTTGTGTGTGTGTGTGCATGCACACGTGTGTGCACGCTCGTGCATGTGTGCTCTTACATGTGGATGTGCTGGTGTGGGTGTTTTAAGTCAGGGCCACAAACTCTCCCTTGGCTTTTTCACTGAAGCCATAGTTCCACTTTCAGCTTTTTTTGTGAACTGGAGTTAAGAGTCTCAGACTTTCCTGGCCATGCTGGTTTCAAACTGTGATCCTCAGATCTCAGCCTGTTGAGTAGCTAGGATTATAGGCATGAGCCACCAGCACTTGAATTCAGGGCCTCGATGCTGTCCTTGAGCTCTTCTGTTCAAGACTAGAGCTCTACCACAGCTCTATTTAAGGCTTATTCTGTTGGTTTATTGGAGATAAGCATCTCACAGAGCCCAGCCCACTGGTGGCTCATGGGCCACAGTGAGCAGGAAATGGGCCAGCCTGAGCTGGAAAGTCTATGAGACTCTTATTTCCAATTAACCACCAGAAAGCCAGAAGTGGTGCTGTGGCTCAAGTGGTAGAATGCTCACTTGAGCTGAAGAGTTCAGGAACAGTGCCCAGGCCCAGAGTTCAACCCCCATGACTGAAGAAAAAAAAAGGGAGAGGGTTGGGAAGTTGGCTCATTGGTGGAGTGCTTGCCTCGCATGCATGAGGCCCTTGGTTTGATACCTTAGCACCACATAAGCAGAAAAGGCCAGAAGTGGCACTGTGGCTCAAATGGTAGGGCACTAGCCTTGAGCTGAATAGCTGAGGGACAGCACCCAGGCCCAGAGTTCAGCCAACATAACCGACAAAAAAAAACAAAAACAAAGAAACAAACAAAGAAAAAGAGTCTCACAGACTTTCCTGCCTGGGCTGGCTTTGAACCACAATCCTCAGATCCCAGCTCCCTGAGTAGTTAGGATTATATGCATGAGTCATTGGCACCTGGCATAGTATTTTTATTTTTAAGAAAATATATTCATCAGGGCTAGGAATGTGGCTTAGTTGTAGAGTGCTTGCCTAGCATGCATGAAGCCCTGGGTGTGATTCCTTAGTACCACATAAACAGAAAAAGCTGGAAGTGGAACTGTGGATCAAGTGGTAGAGTTCTATCTTTTGAGCAAAATTAGCTCAGGGACAGTGCTCAGATGCTGAGTTGAAGCCACAGGACTGGCAAAAAAAGAGAAAGAAAATATACTCATCCCTGTCTCTCACCTGTCTTGAAGAAATATTATCAGTACAAAAGTCATGTATACTAGTGTCAATTCCAATAGTAGCAATACTTACTTTTTTGTTGATTAGGGTTTTTATTATCCATCACGCTACAGTGTCACCTAAGAACAAACATATGACATCAATTAATTTTATTAATTAGTTGGAGTTCCAAGTAACTACAAATACTGAAATATGAAATTTGAAAAATATTTGGGTCTAAGCTGAATCTCCACCAAACTTAGTATGTAACTCCATACAAGATAGCAAGTTAAGTCTTAGTTTTCCACCTTATAATATAAAGAAATCTATTATTAGGTTAAGCACTGGTGACTCATATATATAATCCTAGATATATAGGAGGCTGAGAGGATCACAATCTGAAGAAGCTAGAGACTCTTACCTACAATTCACTACCCAAAATCCAGAATTGGGGGTATGGGTCATGTACCAGAGTGCCAACTGTGAGAGAATAAAAGCTGGCACATACAGACACACAGACAGACAGACAGACACACACACACACACAGAATAACCTATTATTAGAGTGGACTTGGTTACATTACATGTAATCTTTTTCTCATACAAAATTTTACCTTTTGAATTTGGTACATTTGATATATATATGTAATTAGTTTTCAATATTTATTTCATTCCTGAATGTGAATTTAGTAAATAAAATGCTGGATGTTTTACACATTTACTACTTGAGGAAATCTGATGAATAAAATACAAACAAATTTTAAAAGGAATCCTTATATAAAAATATTTTGGGAAATTTGCATTTTGAAATGCTGTCACATTTATCTTTAACCATGACCTATTCACATTTCAGAAACAAATGCTATTATTAACATTTGAAAAAACATATTTAAATCAGCTTTTAGCTTATGTGTCTTTTCAGTTTTTTGAAGAATCATTCTATCTGAAAAGTAATGGAAAGCTAGTTAGGTAACAGTCTTATAGATTAATCCACTAAGTAATATGCTGTGTTCTAAGAAAGAAAATCAAAGATGAATGTTAACAGTCCTGTCCTTCAGAAGTTTATGACTAGTAGTTATTTCTGTTTTGTGGTCCAAGGGATCAAATTCAGAGATTTACACATCTAGGCCAGTGTCCTACCACTGAAGAACACCTCCACCTCTATTTGGTCCTTTAACAAAGCTGTTACATTACACAATTATAAAGCTGAGCACTGGTGATTCATGCCTCCTAGTTTCTTAGGAGGTGAGATCTGAGGATCATGGTTCAAAGCCAGCTGGGGCAAGAAAGTCCATGAGACTCATCACAAATTAACTACTGAAAATCTGGAAATGGAACTGTGGCACAAGTGGTAGAAAACTAGTCTTGAGCAAAAAGCTCAGGGATCAGGGATAGTGTCTAAGACATGCGTTCAAGTTCCAGGTCCCCAAACAAAGAAGTGTGCATGCATGTGTTTTTAACTGCTTTAAGTAGTTTACATTTAAAATTTTTAATGTAATAATTTAAATTGCTATACACATATATTCTACATAAAATATTTTCCCATCTATTTATTTAAACATAATTTTATTATACAGAGATTTTATTATACAGAGAGGTTACTATTTCATAAGTTAGGTAATGAGTACATTTCTTTCTTGGACAATATCACCCCTTCCTTCATTTTCCCACAGTTTACTCCTGTCCCTGCCCACAAGTACATTTTCCACATAGTGTATACTGAATAGTATGATTGCATTTGTTCACTCTTCCTCTCTCCCTTTTTGTGCCCCCTTTGGTCCTCCCTTAAAAGACAAAAATCTCCAGAACAAAAGCAAAAACCATCACCACCACCACCAACAAAAAAACCACCACATTTCCATTTCCTGGAATTCATTTCAATATAATATTTTAAATGTTCAGAGGACTTACACTTTCGGGTTCTTCCCCTAAGGGTATCCAACTTTAGTCTGACTGTATGTGAATGCCCAGAGTCCTGTATAAGTTATCATACTTGGTTATATTTTAGATCTAGCTTCCACATATGAGAGAAAACAAACGATTTTCTCTTTGAGCTTGGCTTATCTCACTTAACATGATTTGTTCTAGGTCCATCCATTTCTGTGCAAATGACATAGCTTTTTTGTTTGTTTGTTTTTTGATAGTGGGACTTGAACTCGGGACTGGGCACTGTCCCTGAGCTTTTTGTGCTCAAGGCTAGCGCTCTTTGAGCCACATCTCTACTTCCAGTTTTCTGGTAGTTAACTGGAGATAGTGAGTCTCACTGACTTTCCTACCCAGGTTGGCTTCAAACTGATCCTCAGATCTCAGCCTCCTCAGTAGCTAGGAACACAGGCATGAATCATCAGAGCCCAGGTACAAATAATATCATCTTATTATTTCTAATGGATGAGTAAAATTCCATTGTGTATATGTGCTACATTTCTTGGATCCACTCATCTATTGTAGGACATCTGGGCTACTTCCATAACTTGGCTACTGTGGATAGTGTAGCAATGAACATCAATGTGCAAGTGTCTTTACCATATCCTGACTGTAATGTTCTGCGTAGATGACCAAGAGGGTTGACTGGGCCTTAGGGAAGATCTATGTTTAGGTTTTTGAGGAACCTCCAGAGTGCTATATAGAGTGGTTATACTAGTTTATATCCCTACCAACAGTGAAATAGGATTCATTTCCCCTCACATCCTGTCAGCATTTGTTGCTGCTCAGATTCTTGTTGGCCAGACTAATTGGGGTGATATGGAATCTCAAAGTTGTTTTGATTTGCATTTCTTTTATGTGTTTATTTCCTCATATATCTATTCTTACTTCTTCTGAGAAGTCTCTCCAGTTCTTTGTCCATTTATTGATTGGTTTGTTAGTTTAGGTATTAGATCTTTGTCAGATGTATTGCTAGTAAAGATCTTCTCCCAGTCTGATGGCTATCTTTCTAGCTTTACAATCATGTCCTTTGCTGTGCAGAAATGTTTTATTTTGATGTAATCCCACTTGATTTAAGTATTATATAATTAAATATTTAAATATAAGAACTTTAGGTTTTTATATACATACTATATTTTCTACATAAAAATATTCTTTTGTGTATGTGCATGTCAGTACTGGGGCTTGAACTCAGGACTTGGGTGCTATCCCAGAGCTTTATCTATGGCTCGAGCCATAGCTCTACTTCCAGCTTTGTGGTGGTTAATTGAAGGTAAGAGTCTCATGAGGGGCTGGGAAGGTGGCTCAGTGGTAGAGCGCTTGCCTTGCATGCCTGAGGCCCTGGATTCAGCACTACATAAGCAAAAAGAAAAAAGCCAGAAGTGGTGCTGTGGCTCAAGTGGTAGAGCGCTAGCCTTGAGCTGAAGAGCTGAGGGACAGCGCCCAGGCCCAGAGTTCAGGCCCCATGACCGGACCTCCCCCCCCCAAAAAAAAAGAGTCTCATGAACTTTCTTGCCTGTGCTAGACTCCATCGCACAAAGAAAAGGAAAAAAAGAGAAGGGAAGGGGATAGGAGGGACAAGGATGGGAAGGGAAGGGAAGGGATAGAGGACAGGAAGGAAAGGGGAAGGTTGGGAAGGGGACAGGAGGGCAAGGGGCAGAGGATTGTAATGGAAGGTACAGAGGATGGGAAAGAGAGGGGCAGAGGATTGAAAGGGATAGAGGACTGGAAGAGGAAGAGGAAAAAAAGGAAAGGGGAGGAGCAGAGGATCAGAGGAGATGGGAAGTAATAGGAAGGGAGAGGGTTGGGAGGAGGGGGAAGGGAGAAGAGAGGAGCAAAGATAAAGGGAAGGGAATGTTCAGAGGATGGGAAGGGACAAAGGATGGGACTGGAAAGGAAGTGAAGGGAAGTGAGTGGAAGGAAAGGAGAGGGGAGAGGAGTGGAGGGAAGGTGAAGTAAAAGGAAGGTAAGCAGCTTAGAATGAGAAGGTAAAGGGAGGAGAAAAAGAAGGGAAAGGCCAGAGGATGGAAAAAAGGGGCATAAAATGGAAAGGGAAAGTGTAGAGAATGAGAGTGGTGAGAAGTAAAGGGAGAGGGAGAGGATGGAGAGAGAAGAAGGAAAGGAAGGAGGAGAGAAGAAGGAAAGGAAGGAGGAGAATATGAAGAAGAGAAGAGTTAGGAGGGTGAGAAGGCAAAAAAGGAGGGAGAAAGAGGAGAGAGACAGGAAGACTAGGAGGAAGCTATAATCTTGAGGAATGAAGTTCAAATACAGCATTTGCAGTAAAGTCTATGAGACTCATCTCAAAAATAAAAGAAAATAATTTGGCAGGGGAAAGCAATGGACTAGAGGAGAGGTAAAGGAGGGAGAGAAGGGAGAGGCTGAATATCTGAGGACTGAAGTTCAAAGCCAGTCTGGGCAGAAAAGTCTGCAAGACTCCATCTTCAAAAGAAATGGACAAAAGAAAGAAGTAAAGAGCTAGGAGCTGGTGGCTCTTGCTTATTATCCTAGCTACTTAAGAGGATGAGCAATGAGGATTGCAGTTCAGAAAGGACTCTTATCTCCAATTAACCATTAAGAAGCAGCCAGTAGTTGAGGTTCCTTGACTTGTCATTTTTCTTGTGTTTCTATGGTTTGTGCTGCCTATTTGGAAACAAAAGCAAATACAATGCACAGCAGAACATAATTTTAAGACAAAAATCAACCCAGAGCTCTATACTTGAAGACTTTAGAGGTTCAAAATCATAGATGGGTATTTCCCTATTTACCTCTCCTTTTGTTTGGGGAGGGATATTTTCCCTCACTTATAGAATATGTCCAGAATATTTTTAGCAGAGGATCACAATAGCTCAATAGCTATGTGATATGATCATATAAAATGATGCTTATCAAAATGAACTCCAAGAAATGGAAACAAGAGGTTTTTCAAGTGTGCTGTTTGCAGTTCTTTCTTTTCTGTTGGTTTACTCTCTGTTAGCACTGTTCTTGATTTCTGTACACTTTGTCTTGTATATAAGTTTAATTGGTTTGGAAAAGGGAAGGGGAATCACAGAAATGGTGGGACAAAGGGTGAACCAATTCAACAATGATACTCACTAGATAATATGATGGAAATGAACTTTACAACTTGGAGGTAAGTAGAGTGGTGGGGGGATTGAGAGAAAATGAGGGAAGTAGTAACACTGTTCAAGAAGAAATTTACTCATTACCTTACTTATGTAGCTGTAATCCC